ACTGACACTTCTAGGACAGCTGCATATCATGAAACACATGGACATGAAGCAGTAGTCCATGCACATACCAGACAACACAAGCATATGGAGAACAAAATATCTATCTCAAACTGCTTTGGAGTCTTTGAGAGAGATTGAGATTGCATTTTGGGGTGAAAGAGCAGGGATATGAAGACACAGAATTATACTAGAAGCATTAGGAGTTTTCTCAGATAACATCCCAGACAAGGGAGAAAGCCCTTGGAAGTAACACAGGAGTCAGCAGCTCTCTTGCATGCCTTTTGCTCATCATTGCATCTACTCAGAAGTTTTAATCAAGCAGGTCTGTGACATGGATGGTGGTCAGATACCTGCACATATGAATGCAAACAGTGGAAGTCTGTTTGGGAGTCATGGGCATAATCTAAATGTTCCAGTGGTTTTGAAAATTGTTAACCCACGCATTAATAATGCAAAGGTACCACCTGGAACAGGAGGAACTTGTTCAAGTGGTGTAGATGGTATCGTGTTTGTTAATACAATTTACATATTGCAGGAGTTTGCTTCAGTTGATAACTCTGCTCTGATACACACTTTAGACCTGAAAGCAGGACTCAAAAAGGGTGAGAAAGGAAATGAAGGCTCCACTGTTCCACCTGTGTGACCCTCCCACAGCCGGGGATCTGAGGAGACGAGCACTATTCTCCTGAATGTTTCTGTTGCAAAAGGCAACTCATGAGTTTTTAATTTAAAAATATTTGTCTGTGTTTTATTCTGTTTGCCATCACATTTTTGAGTCTGCAGAACTCTGGATAAAGGTATGATAGAATGTGGATTGTACTTCTGTAATAAAACTTACCTAAAGGAACAAACTGATGATTTTCTCCTTATTTCTTTCAAGAAGCATTCAGAGACAGCTGCAAAGAAATGAAGCTGGAAAAAGTTTCAGCATTTTCATTTCAACATTTCATCCATTTTTTCCAAACCAGGTGATATTGAGAGATATGAATATTTATGGGAGAGTGGGATCTAACAATGAAACATGATGCTGAAAGCAGATATTGGGGAATATGCTAATCGTGCCATTAAAAGATTAGAGAAGGGCAGGTCAGTTTTCAATTTTAGTTGTATTTTTTATTCTTCATATACAGTTTCTTGAATTTTCATCTGTTATCTCTTTTGTGAAAGTTGAAAAAGCTGTTCTGTTAGCTGCTGAATAGTAGTGCACCATCAATCTGCTCTATAAGCTCCAAAAACTCATGGATCAATGTGCTATGACTATAGGATCAAAGGCAGAGTTTCTGAACTCATCCACAGCAACATGAGCTGTAATGCACAAGGGACATTCTGCTAACCCGATGATTCGTAAGAGACAGCTCATGAGTCAGTAGAAGTTTCCTCTTCTGATAGAATATTAAAGCCCTAAAAAAAACCTCTTAGTATCTTTATCTTTCTTTTTTTGCCAAACAAAAATGTTAATTCTATTTCTGATGTAATTCTTTTTTTAAAATACAATTACATGATAAATTCGGTCAATGCTAAGCAGGTCCTTCATGGAACTAAGCAGATTTCTCTTATCTAAGATTTTGACTTTAAGACATTTTTGGCACATCAATTTCAGAACAGTTTTACATACCAAAAATAGAAATCAAATCTAACTAACAAACCTTAGAACTCCCAAATTTCTTACTCCAGATGATTTAGCTATTTTAGGTAATATTTGATTTATATATATTGCACAAGTTTGTATACAAATAGTAAGACAAACTTTCGGAAAACTTCTACTCTTTGGTCCACCTTGTCTAATTGGTTTTCCACCATTCCTAAATATTGCAATTTTATAATTGTAACTTTTCAAAAATTTTTTTGTTAAGTGGAACATTAAAGAGGAAATTGAAGCAAAAGTGGAGAGTAGCCAAAAGATATTTGATAACACATAAAATTAAGATAAAAGGTTCAATAAATGTGAGTGCTATGCATCAGGATTTCTGTAAAAACCACTGAAAAATTGTTGATTTACCAGGAGTTGCCTGTGTTTAATTATTATCCTGGAGAAGCTCCCAAGCACTATTTTTTCCCAAGTGACACTCTCCTGAAAGGGCACGGTTTTTGCTAGTACAAAACAGTGGGGGCTACCATTTCAAAAGGGTTCATCTGCCTAGATCTTAGAGGATGTCAATGGAAAAGAGTCTTAGGATGTCAATGGAAAAGGGTCTTTTCTCCATCTATCTGTTTATAAAGAATTATTTTTCTTTTAATGACTTACTCTTATCAAAACTTATTCAAGTGTGGAAATAGTAGTGTATGTAAGCTTCACGGGGGAAAAAATGGAAAAGATAGAATTTGGATTGCCATCCCAAACCCTTGTCAGTCATCCCAAACCAACTTCCCTCAAAGAAAATCCTCTCGAGAAATGTGAAGAAGGACTAAGGAGAAAGGAGGAGGTGGCAACTCTTCATCAGTTTGTCTTCCAGAGGAGGAGATGGTGGCTTGCATCAGGGTGCTAAAGTGAAATGCGGACAATTGTTAATGCAGCTGAAGAGTGCTTGGGGCATTTGGGGTCAATTCAAAGCTCCACTGGAGACTTCCTGAGTAAACAAGAGGAACCAGTTGATCTCCCTGTGATTCAGTTTCTTGTGTATAGAATAGGAAAAATAGATGGTATTGTAAGATTAGATGCACTACAGATTTCTCAGATCGTTAAGAGAGCTCTAGAGAGGTTTCTTTATCAATACTGTCACCCCTAGAGAGGTTCTGAGGCCGCTTTAGCCAGCCTGGCAGCATGTTGTCCAACCTAGTGTACTACCTGCCAAGAAGGGAAACAAAGTTACAGCAAACCAGATTCACCAGGTACAGTATGGAAGGGTGCAGTGCAGTACATCACAGCCCCAAATGGTACAGTATGGTAAGAAAGCCCTGATTTGTCAGTGGTTCTCCAATTTTTAGTCTATATACATCTCCTAGGAGCACACAGCCACCCCTACTGCACATGCATAGCAAGCGACAGCAGGCGTGTTTTCCACATATCCCTTAGACTGAATTGGCTGCTCCCCTCCTCCCTCCCAGGGACTGCAGTCCGCAGGACTCCTGCGAGACCCCCTCTACAGGCTGCGCTAACTCCGGCTTGCTAGCGCCAGAAGGAAACTTCTTTCTTCTGCGCTTCCTGCTGCCAGCCGCATTTGGCTTTTCCCGCAGCAGCGCCCTCGGCGGGAGCGGGACTGGGGAGGAGGAAGAGGAGGAGGAGGAGAGGAGCTGGGAGCTGGGGCTGAGGAGCGGGAGCGCGGGCAGCCGCGGCCCCCTCGAACCCGCCCCGGCCGCGGGGTCCCGAGTGCCGCCTCCCCTCGCCGCTCCGGGCCAGGAGAAGGGGCAGCCGCAGACCTCGCAGTGCCCCAGCCACGCGTCCCTACACCAGCCAGGAGGTGGCTTTCTCCTTCCTCTCTCCTCTTGCAAGTAGTTGAGTGAAGTCCAGTGCACTTGCCCGGGTCGTACACTCGGCACAACGCCTATGTGCCCTAGCCGGGATATTTCTGAGGCGAGGGGAATACGGTGCCATTGATGCTCATCCCGCCATTCCGGAGCAGAATAGCTCCTTCGACCCCTAGTTATGTAGTAACAAGGGGAAAATTTCCTGAAATTAGACTACTGCAGGAACTCTGGTTTTAGTCACAGCTGTCATCCGAGAAACAAATTTCCAGGCATTTTTAATCTAATTCACTTATTCTTTATGTAACTGAATTAGAAAATGTGATTAAGCATCGCAGAATCTTCGGCATTGAGTCTGCCTAACCTTTAGTGAAACATGAAACAGAAAAACTTATTAGAAGTAAGAAGAAATGGTGAAATCGTCTGTATGGATTTGGTACAATCGTTACTGACTGAGTAGGAGGATTAGAGGCACAAAGGCTCAAGGAAAAGAAAAAAGAAAAAGAGGATAATGACCTTTACAACCGAAATTCTTCCACAATTGTTTGGCAAATATTCCAGGGCAGGCACCGAAAAGACACGGTGCGACACCGAAGAGGTGCTTGCTGGAGCAGCGCCGTCCTGCCGGCCCGCCCGCGGGTCCCACGCCCCCTTCCCGTGTTTCTTTCTCTGCTGCCCACAGACCTCTCTGTGGCAGGGAAAATTCGAAGGAGAAAAAAATCAAAGGCTTGAAACCGATCCTCCCTTGCTGTGGTATCCCCGAGGTTTGCGGTTAAATCACCTTGGGAAGAAGAGCTGATCCCCCTCCTGCTTAGAGTGGGTTAACACACGTTCCAGCCGCGCTCCCTGCGCGCCCGTGCCGGCGCTGGGATCCGCGGAGCCGTCACAAGCGCCCGCCGTGCTCGGCTACACCAAGCGGCGCTTGGGTGTGGGGGTTAATCCGTGTTCCACTAGCACGCACACAGTTTAAACAAAATAGCAAAGAGTAGAAAACACCCCGACACCTGCTAAAATCAAACTGAAACCCGTAGGAAAATTTTGTTTTTCAGACCAACTCCCTGCGCACCTCGGGCGGGAACCCCTGTCAGGGACTTGCATGTGCCAGGGACGGAGTGGGACTACCGTAGCACGGAAACACCGCCGAGGAGCTAGGGAAAAGAGCAACCCCGCGGCTCGGAAGGGGGTCCTCAGGGAAGCACGGGGCCTGAGGGGAGCGGAGGGCCGCGGAGAGCGCAGCCACCTTCGCTGCGGCTATCCTGGGTGCGGGCAGGGATGTGCGGTGTGGCGTGCCCCGCAGACCCCGACGGCCGCCTGCTCTCCCGCCTGGCGAGGCGGAATCACCCCTCCGACGGGGCTCCGCTCCTCCAAAACTATGTCATTAACATAAATCAAATAATGGCCGGGGGGAGGTGGGGGTGAGAGGAAGGGGGAAGAGGTACGCGACTGCTCATGTGTTAAATATAAGTCTCTGACTGTCCTGAGCAAAGCGACCGTCCCCTTGGGACGGGTGACGTCTCTCCAGTAACGTGATTGCTTCTTTGGAAGCAGAAACGTGTAAACGCTATAAAACGCGGTGGCGCGGCGGGCAGCTCAGAGCGTGCGGCGAGACGGAGCCCTCCTCCTCACCCTCCTCCTCACCCTCTGCCGCCGCCCCGGCAGCCGCGCAGCGGAGCAGGGCGCACTGCCCCAGCACCGCTCCGCTCCGCGCCCGCCCAGCCAGACCCACCGACGGACTCGCGGCTCCGTGAGTAACTTTCTCCCCGCCCCAGCGTCAACTTCCCAGCGGATAAGGAAGGATCTCCCCGTCCGTACCCTCGCTCCTCTTCTCCCCTCCCGGACCTGCAGGGAAGACATCCCGGCCGTCGGGGAGCGGGGAGAGCTCTGAAAGCCCAGGGCAGCCGGGGAGGGACCCTCCCTTGTTACCGCTTAAGCCGCTGAGCCCCAGGCATCGCTGCCCGTCGCACCAGGCCGGGGGTCGCCTTCGGGGATGCCAGCGCTCCCTGACCGCCGGCAGCTCCCTCGCCATCGTGACCCTGCTGGCCGGCGGCGCCTTTCGCGACAGGGACCAGGGTTGGGAGCAGGGCCGGGGCAGTCGCTCGGCGGCCCGAGGCGATGCCCCGGTGCCCCGGTGCGGGCGGGCCGGGTCGGAGGGTGACGGCTGCGCTCTTCCCTCCGCAGGTGGCGGCCATGGAGCACCGCGGCGCCTCCCCGCTCCTCCTCGCCCTCGCCCTCCTCAGCGCCCTCTGCTGGCGGGCGCGGGCGCTGCCCCCGCGGGGCGCCGCCTTCCCTCCCGTCCCCCGGTAAGGCTGCGCTCTGCTCCGCGCTCCGCTCCGCGCTCTGAGCCCCGCGCCCCGCTGCGAGCCCCTCCGCCCGCATGGACCTGCCCAGCCCGGCCTCTGGCCGAAGGGGCTGTGAGGAGCGCCAGTCCTCCGCTGCGCCCTCCCAAGGAGCGCGCAGTGCGGCGCTTCCCGTCGGGTGTTATCCCGGTACCGGGAGGGTGCGCGGGGTGCCCGCGGCAAGGCTGCGGTCAGGCGGTCCCGGCCGGTATCCTCCGAACCCACCTTGGAAAAGACCCCGGGACACGCACGCGCCTCACGAGCGGCTGCAGCACCCCCGAGCTGGGTGCCCCGCGGGCTGGGTGGCCCCAGGCTGGGTGCCCCCGCGGGCTGGGTGGCCCCTCGGGCTGGGCCCCCCGCGGTATGTGCGGGGGGGCGGACGGGATGTGGGTCACGGCGAGCCCTGGGACGTGAACGGGTCCATGGGCACAGAGCGGAGGGTAGGTTTTGTACCTCTGCATGCTTCGGCTGGTTGAAGTTGCTATTAGTGGTCCAGCTAAATCAAATCAGGTGGCAGAACGGTGAGGTTTGCATTTGGGCAAGAGAAACATAAAATGTAGAAGGACCAATGGAAAACAGGGACAACAACGCCGTTGACTTCCAAAAGGTGTGACTTGAGCTGGTCATTTTACACAGGTTCATTTGCACCTTTTTATTACCAGATAGAAGACTTACATGAATCAGATATATAAACAGTGCTAATAGTGACTTTAAAATTACAAGGGCATAAGTCTATCTTCGTTTTAGTATGTGATTTTTGCATGTCATCACATGTAAGGGTTTCCTACAACGATGGGAGCCTCTTGTCTGCCACAGAGTATCAGAGCAGCCAGAAGGAATGATGCCAAAATACTGCTATGCAGTCAGACTGCCCTTGATAAAATATGACACTTCATAAGAAACCGCAGCTTACGAAAATGTGAAGTAACTGTACATCAGTTCATATAGAGCAGTTGCCATGATACATTTTAAAAGATCAAATGTGAAAAGTTTTTAGCTTCTAACATGAGAGAATAAAAACATGTAGAGATACATGACTACACTTTTTATTTAGTTTGAAGTTCTTGGTGTATTTGCTTTCTTTGGAGAAGGCCTAAGAACTGTTTCGTTCTGCATTTCAATGCACATCTTATATCTTAATCGGGAGGTAAGTACATCTCAGGAACAGTTTTCACTTGGGTAGAGGCTGTTAATTTCATCCATCATTTATACAAAATGCAGTTGTTAGGAAAAGCTTCATGGTTGTCACTTGTGCTGTGATTGTCATGCATTATGCACTGGAATAAATTGCATTCAGTGACAACATTTATCTAGAAAATATGAATTTGAGAGAAGGATCTGTTATATCAATTAATCTACAATTAAGCATGGATTCTACCTGAAAGTGATTTTTGATTTATCCAGATTTCTTTAAAGTGCCTTTCCAATTAAAGTAGGTAGATGTGCATTTTGACACAAACCAGAATGTTAACTCTAGTAAAGTGTAGCATGCCCTCTGCTAGCTGTACATTACACGGTTTCTTTCTTCAACAGATTGGGAAACAGAATGCCATTTGATGGAGCCAGTGAACCTGACCATGCCCGTGGGTCATTAAAGTCAGAATCAGATATTTTGCAGAACACACTACCTGAAAATGAGAAATTCTATTTTGATCTGTCCAGAATTATTGATAGGTGAGTTTCTTTATTATCATAAATATAAAAGATGATGGACTACTTGATTTCTGCCAAAAAATCATTCACATTTTCAAACTTAGAGTTAGGAAAGGAAGACTCAATTACAGAAGAAAATCCCACAGCCGCTGCTTGAATAGTGGTAGCAGTAGGGATGTCGGCAGAAATGTTGATTATATTGCCATTCTGGCATGATGAATGCATTCACTTTCCAGAAAGAAGTAAAAATGTATATTGTGAAAATCTGGAAGTATTTTATGAAATTAGTTCCCTTTAAGATGTACAATAGTTAAATTAAGGAAAGCAGTGTATTTACAAAATGAACATTATCAAAATTCTATGAACCTAGGCTGTATTGTAGAGTTTATTTATTGTCCGTTTCAGAAATGCAAGGCATGCTGATGGAATTTTCACCAGTGTCTACAGCCATCTTTTGGCTAAATTTGCTGTGAAGAGATATCTGCATTCGCTTATTAGAAAACGAGTTAGGTGAGGTGACACTTACTATAGGTAGATTTTTTTCCCTAGCTGGCTTTATTGGCAAATTTTTTACCCTTCTATATCCAAGGTCTCCTTTTTGTGATTTAGAGATACTGAAAGAGAAGCTTATATAATTGTGGGGGAGCTGAAAATCCTATATAAGTATTTAGTGATATTACTAAATGGATATGTTACTATTTATTCCTGACACATCTGTGAGAAACATACACTGCACAAAGCATAGATAATGTGTACTGGAAATACTATAATGATTATCATGCCAAATTGCTATTCTTTTTTTCAGTAGTGTTTTTACTAGCCTGGTGGACAAGTGACAAAAGTAAATACAAAGTGATTGATACTCAGTACTTAACAAAGGGAAATACATAATGAAATCAAGAAAAGATTTGTTTATAGGGAAAATATAAAGGTATAGTTTTTTCCTGCTGTATAACATACTGACAGATGTTTGTGAGATTTGTATTGCAGCAGAATTCATAAAAGAATGATGCAAATTCATAGACTAGGGGTCTGGATACAACTTCCAGACCCATATGTTAATAAACTAATGGGCACAGTGTGCTGGGTAGGATCATTGTGTATTTTCCTTGTTTTCAAATCCATAAGCAGCAACTGTGAGCCACTGTGACAATACTACTGAGTACCTACTTCCTATGCTCAAAAGCTGAGTAAAAATTAGGTCCTCCATTTATGTCAGTGCTGCTTTTGTACCAGAACATACAGTTCCAGTTTCTCATATGCTGTAAACTAACATAGACCATTTAAAATAGAACACCCTGACATTTTCCAAGATTGTGCACAAAGAAAAGGCCTTCAGGTTTGGCTTTCACAAGGTGTGTTTTGTCTTCTGAAACCTTAGAACAAGCATTTATAGCATTTTTGTGATGATGCACTCTTAACTTTCCTCAGTGGCAGACTACACTTCCACTGAGTTTGATGTGAACAGTGATGAGGTCCTTTAAGAACTTATTGCAATTTAAACCAGGTTGTACCTTGGCATCGTACTGAAATATATTCCCACCAATGACAGAAATTAGGATAAAATCTGTTTGTTAAAAGGTGCAACCTGGGGGGTGAGAACAGTCAGGAGAAAGTAATGAAATCCACACTTAACCACTTGACCTTACAGAACTCCTGGGACGAGGACTCTAGAAATCATTGACTATGTATCCTAATTTCACAGGCCATGGCAAAACTGAGAAGGAAGTGGAAGGTGTGCCCCAAAAGACTGAATAACAATCTTTGATATTAAAATACATAGTAAGCAGTGGAAGCAGTGGTTTCTTTTCAGCAGAAGATCCAAAGTCATAGATGAAAGCTATGAAATAAAGAAAAAGAAAGAAATAAAAATTTGATTTTATTAGGCTAATTAATACCATAAAGCTTATTTTGCTCATTTAACAGTATTTTCTTTTAAACGGATATAGTCTCTTAAATTTTCCTTTGTAATTGTTGTATTGCCAGCTCCCAGGACAGTCCTGTCAAACGCCACTCTGATGCTGTCTTCACTGACAACTACAGCCGCTTTCGAAAGCAGATGGCTGTGAAGAAATACTTAAACTCAGTTTTAACTGGAAAAAGAAGGTACTACAGAAAAGCACATATATATATTCTTTCCATACTTCTATGACACTAAGACAGAAAAGTTTTACGTGCATGTATGTATACAGAGAGGACAAAGTGCAAAAGGCACTGAACATTAATGACTTGATAGCATAGTTTATGGTATGGTTTTTAAATACAGACAACATTTTTTCCCTGACTGGAACAGACATCACGATGAGACTAGAATAGAAGAATAAAAAGGAGATGGCATCTGGCAAGTTTAAAAATCTTCCAACAGATTCTTAAATTGTTTTTATTTAGAAAAAATTTTCATAAAGAAAAAAACCCCATGGAGCTATGGAACAGTAACAGCAAATTTTATCAAAAAATATGTTGAAAAATTGCCTCTCTGTAAACATGTGAAAAAAAATTTGAAGATCTCTAAAGGACTATATATCCTAATCAGTATAGGTGAGATGTGCCAGCATATATTTTAGTAGACCTTGTCTTCTGTTTGTATATTCACTCATTTAGAGAACTGCTTTTAAATATCATGTCTCATTATTAATTAAACATGCTATTTCATATATTCTGTAACACTTTGGTTTAAGTGTAAGAAAATGTGCAGAAGCTGCAGTTAGAAGGAAGGTTTGCTTGCTTTGCGTTTTCTTCTGAAAGCAATAAAACTTGTTTCTGATCCACAACAGCCAGGAAGAGCTAAATCCTGCTAAACTTCGAGATGAAGCAGAACTTCTGGAACCATCCTTTTCAGAAAACTACGATTCTGTAGATGAGCTGCTGAGCCACCTCCCACTGGTATGCCAAGAATGTCTTTTCTCTTGCTATCTGTTACTTGACTTGACCCATACAATGAGATTAATAGTGCATGAAGTGTGGCCTATCAGAAAATCAGAATAATCTAGGAAAGGGAGTTATGTTCCATGAAAAGCTTTATGTTTCTACAGAGATTGTTTCTGAATAAAATAATAATTTTAATAATAAGCTTTAAGTTATCCCATGATTGCTGCTGTTGAAAATTCCTAATTAAATGGCACTGTTCATAATGCACCTAAGACACTTGGGTGTTTCAAGCAAAGTGCACTGCAGCATAAAACCAGAAGTGACTCATTTTTAATTACAAAGATCATTATTTCTTCAGAGAACAAACTTGAGGATATTTCCTTTAATTAAAAAAAAATGCTACAGCTTTTGTTTAACATCTTTTTCATTAGAAAGGAGTTGCCCCTAGAACTAAAAGCATCAGCAAGATGAATCTTATGCATTAAGAAAGTATTTGACATGCAAATCTTGCATGTTTTCCATTAGGTGCTACTATTTCTTCTGAAGTCATTCACAATTTTTTTTTTGTTTACTGAAAGATAAACCCTTCTACATCAACACTTGCAAAAACATAACATTGAAAGGCTAAGGAAGATATGAATTTGGCTTGGTTTTGTTGAAAGTGTATTATGAAATTGATGATAGGATAGGTTTTGCATTCAGTTGTGTCTGAAAAGGTAAGAAAAAAGTTAAAAAGGCTATTCTTGAAGACAAAATTTAGAGAAATGTCTTTTCCTGTGTCATCCCAAACCACCCATCCCCCTCCCCCAAAAGAGACGCTGTTTCCTTTCAAGACTGAAACAAAATGAGGACATGTTCTTTTCCTTTCCACAAATGTGGCACTTCCTCTAAAGTTCCCGAGGTCAAAAAGGACATAAACTGCTTATGCATTGAGAAATTAAATAATTTGTAAGCAGCATGATTCTGGAAAGAAATGTTCTTTCTGGACAAGATTTATACCAAAAATATCTATTCTTGGATTTTGCACCTTCTCAGAGTTCTGGCATTAACGAAGGGACAAAGAGTAGTGGTGCAGCAGATATCTTCCTGAAAACATTTTCAGTCCTTTCCATTTTTATTGACTTTATTGATGAGGCAGATCTGCCTGTAGGTGAACCAGTACTGACTTTGTCATGTTATTGCAGCACTCAGTTGCTAACGTAGTGTGGAATGAGCAACCTGAATTTGTGTATCCATTTCAAGAATACAGATTTTTTTCAGAGTGAGCAGTTCTGTGCTGCAGGCTAATCTGCAGTAACGTTTTTCTCTAGTCCTTCAACCTTTCTTTCCTCATCCCACGGTCTTGTCTGACTGTAATGCCCACCAAACTCCTGTGAGCAGCCACATCTCAGCTTGTCAGTCCCAAGCACAGCAATTGTTTTATATCAAGTGTTACTCGTTGCTCTCTGTCTGACCTCATACACCTCATGATGCAACTGCTTGAAAAAGTGACTTCTAAAGCACATCTCTCCTTTGCTTTTCAGGACCTCTGAAGAACACCTGGTAAAGTCTATGACAAGAACAAGCTATTTTTGAGTTCCACATAGTATTTCAAAGAGATGACTTTAGTCATCAAACCAGAACAAATATGTTGTGAAGTGAAAGTTGTGATATATTTGTTTCTTACGTAATAAAAGTTGATATTTACATTGTAAATATTACTCTAGAGTTCTCTACTGAAAGCTGTACATATGGATGCCAGTTTAACTCATGAGAAGTCTGTGAGTCCATATGCTGTAAATCCTTTACTTCAATAAATTCATTTGAAAATGAGTGTGCAGCTGAAAAGAGCCCATCATGACTAATTAATTGGCTTATTTTAGGTGTTTTACAACTTCAGACAAACGTGTAATAATAAGGAAACATTTCTAGATAGCCTCATATAGAACATGTAACAACAAGAGGAGAAGAATGTTCAAAGTGTGAAAAACTGCTTTACAAAGATCTGTGAAGGTTATTGCCCAGCAAAAGGGAATGCTTTTCTAGCAGTTTACCAAGCAACTAGAAATAATGAATAAGAATTAAATTTTTTTTGACCTCCAGCAGTATCTTTACTTCTGGTTCATATTTTTAATATTTCACAACATATAAATTATATTAAGACCAGAAATATCTTCTTTATTTCCAGTTGTGTTTCTGGAGCTGACCAAGTGCTAAAAGAATGCAGTCTTTTGATTTGTTTGATGCCTAAAGTCATCAGTTATTCTACATTTAATTGTCTGTAGCTTTGATGATGAAACTATTGCTTATATATAAAATAGACCTGAAGACAGTTTACTATTTTTTCAGAATGAATGTAATTTACAAAATATGCAGACAATAAATCATTTTATTATCATGGCAAGTTATTACTAGTTTGAATCAGTGCTACAGTTACTTGGAACAGCAGAAGTCCTAATAAGTGCTATCTGTACAGCAGGAAGATAATATTTTTAACTGATTTATGCTATATGATTTTAGAAAGACAAGTAAATAAACCTCCAGTCCCCTTTTCTGTAGCTTTCTATTGTTGTAGATGACAATGGAACTAAAAATTTGCAGCTGTTTGATTCATACTGATGTAGAAAGTAGAAAAACTTATCAGACCTACTTACAAGCTCAATTTGGAATTTCAAGTATATTTATAAATCATACATATGCACACATAGTGATAAAACTGATTTGCAAGTTTCACTTACAAGTTTACTGTTCTCATTTAGAAAGGAACTTCTAACATGATAAAATCTGAGATTTATGGAGACTAGTTCTCATAAATATGTAGCCCTCCGATTTGCAATTTTTTTTCGAATATTGGCAACTGCATGTCAAAAGAAAACCAGCTTTCACAGATCGGGTGCTAATATTGCTATTTCTATCTAGCCTTGACAGAATCTATTTTAGCCTAAGCCAGTGAGTGGTTCACAAAAGTTATATTTTCACAAAAGACATAATTTTGAAGTCTTCTCTAGAAAAGTTGTTTTCCACCCCCAATTCCTATCATATTATGAACATCTGAAAGCAAAAATGTCTTTGTAAATGCTTGAAGGATACTAACAAACTGATGCTATAATACTTAAAAATATTCGTCAGTCTAGTTTGAATTATGTTAGCATTTCTGTGAGATATAATAATTCAAAAATAAATGAAAAAAACCAACCAGAAGCAAAGCTGCATATGGCCTTTATACACAGATTTTTTTTTTTAAATGTATGTCATTCACTCAATTTAAAGTAACAAAATTTGAAGTAATCAAACTTTTAAGTACACAATTCCAGAAATAATTTTTCCTAAATTTTTTAAATTATTTTTTATTTCCAGCTTACAAATACGGCATCTGATAGAAGAGCTTGTTTTCGATGTTTAATGTATTATCTTCCCGATATTCTTGACATTTTGTTCTCCATAGAAAAATGCAGAATTTGGAACCTGTATTTTCTCTGTTACATGACGATGGAGTAGAAAACAGAGACACTTATTAGGAAATTATATATATAGATATATACACACACACACATTGTTATTATTCAATAATACCATGGTAGCATCCTCTGAGGGTTTGCAAATAGTGACAGTCTAAAAAGCATGCTGAATTTTGTGTACATTGTAGCAAAACCTAGCACAGACAGGAGAGACACTAATGTACAGAATAATATCTGTGGCTTGGTATTTCTGTTAAAGGATGGCTTTTAATTTGTTATAACAACCTTAGACTTTCCGTAGATTTAAAGCCCAATTAATACAGTGAGAGGACTTAACTGAGGAAGAGGTAACATTGTTCACCTCAAGCACACGGGCAAGTGGTCATGGTAAGGTTAAATGATAAAATTGAGGAGAAATTGGTAACATTTCACTGAATGACACAAGTTTTCATCCTGTCAGTGATTTGATATAACCCACCAATCTTACAGCCCATCTGCAAAATATCTTAAGTGTGGAATCAAAACATTTCATTATTAGGAGAATGAACAAGTCAGCCCCAAAGGAAATGTCAGGAGAACTGCTAGGAGGGAAAAAAAATGCCCAGGAGATTTAGAACAGCACCACTGACAAGGAGAATGCAACCACTGGGGAGGAATGAATAAAACTGTGATGGATTATTGGGGTATATATTAAAGGAAACTCTCGCCATGTTTCTTCAGAATTTCACTTGTAACACACGAATACCTGAGGTCTCACAGGATAGAACTAATTAGTTTTTTGTTTTATCAAATGGGGTTTGCTTTTTAAAGCTTCCCTTTGGACCTCTTAAAGAAAGGTACAGAATCACCTTTAAGTGCATCTTCACCAGCACTGGAAGAGGATCTTTTTTGGTCCTAAATCCATAGAGAAGATTTGCATGCTTGCGTGCATCTGTGCATTCATCATCCATTCAAGAACAGTCATAATTATGTATAACACCATAAGAATTACAAAAGTTGACAAAACAATTTAAGATTGCAGCCAGTAAAACGAATTAAAAACGAATAAAACTCTAACAGCTCCTCTGATATTTTAAGTGGATTTAAGGGTCTATGAGTGTTTATTCCACCTTGAAAGTCTGAGAAAAGCATCCTAATTAAAACTACAGAAATGGGTAGCTTTGATCCAAAGCATACTTATAATTTTGTGTATAGGCATATTGGATTCTCCCCGAAGATGGACCTTTTGGAAAGAGATGTATGCCTACAGGAATAATTTATTTGCTTGTAAGATATTTGGGGCAGGGAGATGGAAAAGGCTGTGAACTGCTTTTAGTGATATTACTTATGCTTTCCACTACCTCTTTTATATTTCCTCATTTTCCCTCCTCCCACTTACCACAGGCTTTCCCACACTTTAATAATCTCACTGTTGCCTTGCAACGTTGGTGTATGAATATATACCTTTGCTTTTGAGAAGAGCAATTAGAGCAGAATTTAAGTTTAGGGTGCAGCAATCCAAGAGCTGCCAGCCTTGTTGATGGAGAGTATTGCAGAGAACCTGGCACAACCAGATTTGCAGGAGCAGCCTCTCCTGCTCACAAACAGTCCCTGACTTACCACTGGAGACTTCCCATTCGTTGTGTGACTGGCAGAGAAGGCTGACCTCTCCTTGGATACATCAAACAGAACGCGTGTCCTCCCGGGGCTTGAGCTGGCTCAGGCAACTGCAATATTTCCAGCTTTTCTCTTTTCCGATCTGAAGCAGTCACAGACAAATCGCTTGCCAGCTTGTCAAATTGGTCTAGAACTGGAAGTAGGAATCTAGGCACCCATCTTTTACACCAATCCTTAAAAAGTCCAAAGAATGATTTGGTGCATATTCTTCTTCTGATGTAAACAAATAAGAAAGGTTTTATTTAAGTTGTGCACACACATATATGCAGGCCACTTAGGGAGGTGAAAAAAAACAATTTTTCCTTGTGGGGATAAATATTTTCAGAAACTTAAAATTATTCAACATTTGTAAGTAAAAACATGACTGACTATTCAAAATTAAACTGAAAGTTCCATAAATCATGATACAGTAAAAAGAGATATATATCTATATATCAACATTATCATGGTAAGAACAGTATTTTCAGTAGAGCATATTTTTGAGGAAGAATGGGAGCTGTTTCCATAATGAGATAAAAAAAAGAGTAAAGTGATCTCCTTCTTCCTCACTGATCAGATTATTTAGTATTAGATCAACTTTTGAATAGGATAATATTCTTAGAAGAATGTACACGAGAAGGGTGAATAAGATCATTTTCTAGAACTGCTCTGACCGTTTCAATGAGACCTAATAGCCTCTAATAGCCTAAGTAATTTCTAAACATGAGATAGAAATGCTTTTAGTATGTAGATGCAGTTTTTTAATAGTTTTCTAGTCAGAATTTATCCAACATATATACTATTTGTGGAATGGCGGGAAAGCAGAAGAAAATCTAAAAACAGTCACTGTGTTCTGTTAGATGAGCTATACCTGTGAAGACCTTTCTACTTAGGAAATGTACTCAGAGCAGCAACGTTTGTCAGTAGCTTATGAAATAGCAAAGCTGTTGACTGGGATGTGTCAAGTTGCTACATATCAGCTTTTTGATAGAGAATTCATTTATATGAAGCCTGGGAGGCTCCTAGTTGTTTGCTTGTTTTATACGCTATTGAATTGCTTTTCACAGAAAGTGGCCACAAGTATGTTTGACAGATGTCTTATCACCACTTGTTTCTATTCTAACACAGTTCTTAATCTTTGTTTTTCAGACAGTCCCTCTTCCCATAATCATAGCCAGAACATCTGCACACTGGTTTAAGCAGGCAATTTTCTCTTATTAGGGAGTATAGAAAGCAAACTACTGCATTCTAGGAAGACTCTCCATGAAAAGGCTAAGGATATATAATTTATGCAGCAAGACCAAGTCTTGGCTAAAAAAAACAAGAAGAATTTGAAAGTTCAAAATTTGGTGCCAATAGTTTCAGTCCCATCTGGTGATTCCTTCCACAGCAGTGCATTGTACTTGGAGTTCCAAAGCTGGTGTCAGAGCTCTGGTCTTTACCTTGTAAAAAGAAAGAAGAAACTGGCAAATGTTGAGGTAGAGCAGGTGAAGACTATGTCTTCAAAAATTATATGATGTAAAAGTTTGTATAGGGCTGTTTGTTTCCTGTAGGTTTAAGACTATTGCTTTGAGAAGAAATGGCCATTTCTTGCAGTCAGAGGACCTCACATCATGCAAGTTCATTCATTAACTTAGCAAACTCCCTCAGGAGCACAGCTGGACTGTTTGTCCCCTAATTCTGCCTCTGTACTGATCTAGTAGCTGTACTTGTTGGGAATCTTCTTTTTAC